TAGAGATTCTCTACTCCAAGTTATTTCCCTAGAGCAGAAATAAGTTACAGATATCACCATCTACTGCTATTATGTGATTCATGACAACTCAAAGCTACCTAATGCTGAGTGTTTCCGATAATACCTCTCCGAGTCATTTTCCTAGAGCAGAAATAAGTTACAGATATCACCATCTACTGCTATTATGTGATTCATGACAACTCAAAGCTACCTAATGCTGAGTGTTTCCGATAATACCTCTCCGAGTCATTTTCCTAGAGCAGAAATAAGTTACAGACATCACCATCTACTATTATTATGTGATTCATGACAACCCAAAGCTACCTAGGTTGCGTTCAGTTCTTCATCCGGGTGCATTCTATTACTAACACTATTCACTATTCACATTCTATTAGAAACACTATAGTATATGTAACATATACTATAGCATTTCTAGTAATAGAATACACCCGGGTATGGAATCTGAACGCAGCCTAATGGCTCCTGCACACAGGACGCGGTAATGCTTGCCACGCGGCGAAAGTCCGCGCGACAGCCAATCAATATGTTGTTTTTCCGTAAGAGCTAGAAGATTATTACGGAAAGCAGCATATTGACTGGCTGTCGCGCGAACTTCCGCCGCGCAGCAAGCATTACCGCGTTCTGTGTGCAGGAGCCATAAGGGTCTGAGCACAAAGATTGTCGCAATCGTTTCCGACAGTGTCGTAGACGTAAATCGGTGTCGGAAGTCAACGCACAAGGATTGGCGTAGACGTATGCTGTATCAAATATGATTAGACGACACAATTGATGCAGCATATGACTACGTCAATCCTTGTGCGTTGATTTCCGACACCGACTTACGTCTATGACACTGTCGGAAACGATTGCAACAATCTTTGTGCTTAGGTCCTAATACGTGTTGCTTACGATATCGAGTGCAAAGCGAGTGAGAACTGGATTCGAGAGAATAGTACATATTCCCATCTGCAACTAATATATTCTATGGCTGCTCTTGCTCTGGGGGTCGATTGTGTATCTCGAAACGAAGTGAAAATTACAAAGTGAACAAATTCACTAGGCATTGACCAATGAAGTTACAAATATTCTAGTAAATTTGTTCACTTTTGTCATTTTCACTCTGTTTTGAGATACACAATCGACTCCCTGCTCTGTTCTGTCTTTTAAGCTGGTGGCACACAGAAAAACTTAAGCAGTAAGGTGAAAGAAGTAAGCAAATTGACCAATCACAGTCGTTGATTCTTGGACCGTAATGGCTCCTGCACACAGGACGCGGTAATATTTGCCGCGCGGCGGAAGTCCGCGCGACAGCCAATCAATATGTTAGATTTGAGGCTTTCACGGCCATTGATACAATGTCTAGGTATAGCTTCCGGAATGGAGCCGTGTCTTGAATCAGCGATATGCCATATCGCTGATTCAAGACACGGCTCCATTCGGGAAGCTATACCTAGACAATCAATATGTTGTTTTTCCGTAAGAGCTAGAAGGTTATTACGGAAAGCAGCATATTGATTGGCTGTCGCGCAAATTTCCGCCGCGCGGCAAGCATTACTGCGTCCTGTGTGCAGGAGCCATAAGAAGAATCAACGACTGTGATTGGTCAATTTGCTTACGTCTTACTGCATAAGTTTTTCTGTGTGCCACGGCACACTGTCTTATCCACAGTAACAATAGTTACAACACAGTCTTATCAACAGTATGACTGCGTAAACACAACAAGGGCCAAGACATCAATCATGTATCACATGAGAACTCTGAATTTTCTCAATTATTTAATATTTTTCCTTAGTATGAAACTATGAGAAGTGAATTGTTTTGCAGTACTTGAATGCAATCGTAAATTCTTTCCTCCAATGTAAACTTGTGAAAGTTTACATTTCCATATATTTTCAAGGTTAGATTGTTCACTTTTTACAAGTTCACATTAGGTGAAAAGATTCATGACCAACCCTCTGGCTATAAAAATTGTCGCAATCGTTTCCGACAGTATCGTAGACGTAAGTCGGTGTCGGAAATCAACGCACAAGGATTGACCCTAACAGCACATGATATCATACGAATCATTCTACACTCATACTGAAAGTACTATGGCCATACGTACTATTGCTAATATACGAGAGAATATTTATGTAATATCTTGATGGAATATCATTTCTCTGATATTCTCAAGCTCATACTCAGAACATAAAAATTCAGAACATAAAAATTAACTGAATCGCAGCCAACGTATATTTTACAGAACATATTCAGTTTAAGCGTCATCTACACGTATTTCGGTTCCCATTCCCAGCAATCTCTGTCTGCCCTTTCTTTTTCCGCTTGTATATATATTATAATTCTTTTTGTCGAAAATATGTATAAATTAACGCTGTCGGGCAGCGTTAATTCATATATATTTTCGACAAAAAGAATTATAATATATATACCAAATATATCCTGGAATTCCTCAATAACTCCAAAGTAAATCTATAAAATCCTTCATATATCCCTATAAACATAAACTCCCAACAAATACATAGTGAAAGGGACAATGAGTCAAGCCTGCAGCCGTAGAGAGAGAGAGAGAGAGAGAGAGAGAGAAAGAGAGAGAAAGACACGAAGAGAATCGCACGAATCAAGCATCATCGCGGACGTAATATTTATAAGGTAATTGTTTTCCTATTTTATGTAATATTGTTTTTTATAATAATTATAGTTATTACGAGTACATACATAAATTAATAATATAATATTTTTAAAATATACTATATTATTTTTCATAAAACTACCGCAGATAACTTTGAGGTTATTTTGGTTACCAGGACAAAAAGAACTTATACAGTTAAAAATATTGTTAGCCTTTGTTATAATATTTCAGTTTCTAATATAAATTTCTCATTTTGTTGCAGCATAGACCCTGCAATCAAATATCTGTACATTGCTCGGACTTCTCCTTTTTGAATGTATGGCTCAGACCTTTCCGCTGGAAAAAAGACGTAAAAAACTAGTGCAACTGTTGACTCGGGGCTAAGTCGCAAAGTAGGTAATTGAACTTTCAAAAGTACAATCGCTAATATATTGTGAAAATTGAAATAATAATTATTGCATGTTTTTAAGTATATAAATTGCAATTTCTTTAAGGCTTGTAGATAGTCTCTGTGACTATCGTTATTTAATGACGTCAACAGTAAGAAAACGCATGCAAAGATTTCTTCCGTTATCATTTTAATAAAAAAGATATATGCACAAAGTGATATTAGTAATCAATGTAGCACACTTATAAAATTACCTTAAATTATAATTATAACATGTAATAACTGTCGAATGCAAGTAGACAAAGGCCGCGTTCCGTTTCACGCATATGCGCGCATTTATCTATAGTTCGTGTTACGTATATTGTAGGCAATGTGCGCATAATGCGTGAAACGGAACGCAACCAAAATAAGATGTAGTTTTCATTCATATTCTATTTGCATATTCTATGTTCTATTACAAATTTGAGGAATATTTTATGCATCTAAATCAATGTTAAACATATATGGAATTAGTAATTATAAAATTTTTATTACTATTAGATCCACAATGTACAACTAGTTTCTCCCGGGTGTATATCAGTTGGACACGGGGCAATTGGACACAGTCCAATCACAAGTCGCTGTTCCAAGGGACCCTACAAATGTCTCTAATCACACGGTGCTGTGATTGGCTGTGTCCAAATGCACCGTGTCTAAGCGCACCGCTTCCGTTTCTCCCATGGTGAAGAATTGCTTGATAATGAGAAAGTTTCAATTCCAAGATCAAGTTATAACAGTAATTATAAAGGAGGTCATTATAAAGGAGATAATTATAAAGGACGAGTGTGCAAGTTTTTTCTATTTTACATTCTATGTAATGATTATTAGTGAATTCATATGCACAGTAGTAACATTGTTTTTTCTGTAACTAATGTATAATTTTACTGTAACTTCTCTCCATATTTGTAACATAAACAATTCTTACAAAATTGCATATTATACAATATTTTTATTTTATCATTATTTTTAAAATTGTAATAGACAATGTAATGGTAACATTTTCTTTTTACTTTGAGATCCTAAATATTCAGAACATTTACCCTACAATGAAGGACAGAATAACGTTAAGAATGGAGTTAAGAATAGTTCACTTTCAGCGAGACAGCTGTACATGCAAAGTTCAATCATGAACAAAGTGAGTATGGAAGTGATATTTCGTATTTAGAATTATTATTGATATATTGTAGGCTGGGTAAGTTATAATATTTTTTAAAATAAATAAAAGTAAAAATAATGACGCAGAAAATTAATGTACCAGGTATGTAAATATGAAACCGGAATTTTTGTATAGAAAATACACGTTTATTGTATGAAAATGATAAAAAATATTTTATTCGAAGTATTGACCATCGCTAGCTATACATTTTTCCCACCTGTCTGACAATTTATGGATGCCATGCCAAAAAAAATGTTGCTCTTTTGAGGCAAACCAGTCATCGAGCCATTTTCGTACATTCTCGTAAGAAGTGAAGCGCTGCTTAGCAAGTGCGTGTCCCATCGATGCAAATAAATAGTAATCGGACGGAGCCAAGTCTGGTGAGTAAGCCGCATGCGAAAGTATTTCCCAACTAAACGCCTCAATCGTTTCCTTGACCAGTTTTGCTGTGTGTGATGGTGCATTATCATGAAGCAAAATCACTTTGTGTTGCCTTTTTTTATATTCTGATCGTTTTTCACGCAAAGCTTGATTCAAATCGATCATTTATTGTCGGTAGCGTTCAGTATTAACGGTTTGGCCAGGTTTTAGCAGCTCATAATAGATCACACCCTTCTAATCCCACCAAACACAGAGCATTGTCTTTCGTTAATAGCGATTTGGCCTTGCAGTCGATGTCGATGGTTGGCCTGGAGTTACCCATGATCTTTTACGCTTAGGATTCTCAAAATATATCCACTTTTTATCGCCAGTCACAATTCGATGGAGAAATGACTTTCTTTGGTACCTGGCGAGCAGCATTTCGCAAGTGATATTTCGGTTTTCCTGCTGTCTTTCATTCAGTTCATGTGGAACCCATTTTCCCATATTCTGGATCTTTCCCATGGCTTTCAAACGTACGGAGACGACTTCTCGTGTCACAATTAATTGATCCGCGAGTTGTTGTTGCGTTTGAGTGTCATCCTCATCCAACAATGTTTGCAATTCGCTGTCTTCAAACTTTTTCGGTGGTCTTCCACGTTCTTTGTTTCTCACGTCAAAATCGCCAGTTTTGAATTTTTTAAACCACTTAAAGCACTGTGATTTACCAAGAGCATACTCACCGTCAGCTTCGACAAGCATTCGATGCGATTCTGCAGCAGTTTTCTTCAAATGGTAACAGAAAATCAATGCTGTCCGCAAATCGTAGTTTCCAGGCACAAAATTCGTCATGTTTAACGCTATTACAAACTACGTTGTTGTATGAAACTTGTATTGTTGTGAGTTGAAAATTTTTGTCAGAGATGTCAACAAGGAAATAGCGCCTATGACGCGGTTTAACGGTAACTACATTGATAGCTAGGGCCATCTGTGGGCAAATTCCGGTTTCATATTTACAGACCTGATAGTTATTGTAAAAATTGCATGGTTAAAAAATTAACTCAGTTAAAAGTTACGTAAAGATCTAATAAACTTTAGTTAAAACTTAATATAGAGAAATATTATTTGTGTTGATAGTAAAGTATGTCGATATTTTGTAAAATTACTTTAAAAATGAGAAAATAATTACAACATGGTTCATGACATATATTTAATATGGTACTTGTAAATGAAGTTTATATAAAAAAACAAAGAACTATTTTTTATGGTAGTTTTAAATATTTTCATTTAAAATTTTGCTTTACACAGGTACATTTATATCTTAGGGAAAAAAAATTAATGAGTTCTACTTTTTGGTCGGTATTCATAGTCGAGTTTTATATTTAAGACCGTCTTAAGTTCATCTTCAAATACTCGTAGCCAATGAAATGATCCGTACATGATTTGAAGATAAACTTATGACGTTCTTAAATATAAGATCCGGCTATGAATACCGGCCTTTGTGTTCTACAAAAACTTGTTAAAGTTACAAATTAATTTATATAAAATAAACTAAGATAAGTTAAAACTTAACAACTTTGCTACTTTATTGTACTTGTAACTTTAAAACTAGTTAGTATCCCAATGAAAAATTTTTCATATATAATTATATAAAATTATACATAATAATATATAATTATATATAATTATGTATAATTTTATATAATTATGTATGAAAAATTTTTCATTGGGATACTAACTAGTTTTAAAGTTACAAGTACAATAAAGTAGCAAAGTTGTTAAGTTTTAACTTATCTTAGTTTATTTTATATAAATTAATTTGTAACTTTAACAAGTTTTTGTAGAACACAAAGGCCGGTATTCATAGCCGGATCTTATATTTAAGAACGTCATAAGTTTATCTTCAAATCATGTACGGATCATTTCATTGGCTACGAGTATTTGAAGATGAACTTAAGACGGTCTTAAATATAAAACTCGACTATGAA